AAGACGGTCGATGTTGAGAGTGACTGGTGCTAATTTGAGGGTTGACATGAATAAATAGCTGACCAAGAAGTGTGCTGCCCATAGGTTGAAGATTTATGGCACATTATGAACGAAGACATTTAAAGTTACATAAATGGAAAAATTATCTGACTTGGTTATTTCTAAAACGTTTACGAATATGATAATTATAACATAAAATACAAAAATACAAAATACAAAAACTTCAATACAATCGAATGAAAAACATAAGAAGTATTGCTTTATTAGGGAAATGCCTGGATGTGTTAGCAGTTTAAGTCAACATAGCTGCAGTGTGTTCAGATAAATTATCTCTTCACGCATTTGAATATATTCCTAAAGAGTCCATTGCAGATTTGCATATAACATTTTTAATGTTGCAAACGAAATAAAAAAAAGAGCAATCAAGATTTGCATTTGAAAAATGAGACAAGGCCTGTTCTCAATATTACTCTTAAGAATGTTAGTGATTTCCTTTTGCGAGGTTTTCACTCACGAAGGCAGCAGCTTTCTCTCTTACGAACGTAAGTTCATCTCCGCTGTCGAGTAGGATCAAATCCAACATTGCCATGGCTTCCAGTAGGGCTTGCCTTCTGGGGTTTGTCTCCCTACATCCCCAATTAACTTTCCAGGCGTTATTGATGTCTTCCGCACTAGCCACGAGAGAGGTTTCCCTCGCGTGTTTGGTCGTCCTTGATCGAGGAAAGTAGTAAATTCTTCGATTGTAAGGCTCGACGGGGCATAGTAGCTGTAGGCATGAATCCTGGAGATTCTGACCGGCACGAAATCATACTCCTTGTCATTGTTCGAAGCCTCAATAGGTGTGCTCCCACAGTTCCAGATGGTAGCCCTTTAGCTTATATCCCTAGTCCAGCAATGGGTGTCGAATTGCAGGTACGACTCTGAGATGCACACCAGGTCGATTGTTAACCCCCATTTGTGGCAACTCATCTTCTGAATCCTATTCCTTCTGCACCTATGTCTCCACTCCACCCATTTTACCCTCAAAAAGTCTTCACGAACAGCGAGACGTCATCGATGCCATTCCAGGCCAGAACAAAATCGCAAACATCCGCACATCGACAGGATCCATTTACTCTTCCTGAAGAAAGTCCTTCGAACGAAAAATACCGAAACTTATTAATTCACAATTCGCCGGATAAAGTGCAGCCCATGCTAAAATAGACTGCTATTTTTGTGAAGGCAATACAAGCTTGCACAGCCTGTGTCAAATGGGTAAGATCTAATCTACTTAATAATTTAAATTCAAACAAATGGGAATATTTTGTCTCACGTCACTCTCTGCAATGGACTGGTAATTATCAATACCAAAGAGGATTGACTGAAGTACAGGCTCAGTTCTGGGGGTTTGAGTGACCCCAGCGACATCGTAGTACTGCACCTCAAAAGAGGGAGGGCCCCAAAACGCAATGGGGGTGTCGTCCCGTCAGCCGACTCGGTAACTGCTTCAGCAGCAGTCCCGCTTTCAGAGGGATCAGTCAACGGGGTGAATTATATTTTGTGTTACGAAACTGGTATTCACTGAAATTGAAAAATGAAAAATTTTCAAAAAACCATCAGAGGAGCATAAAAATGGAGGAGGTATTCACTGAAATTTAAAATTTCGAAATTTTTGAAAAAGTATAAAGGGAACATGAAAATCGAAGAGGTATTCCCTGAAATTTGAAAATTCAAAATTTTCATAACAGCATCAGAGGAGCATGAAAATCGCGGAGATATTCACTGAAAATTTAAAATTCAAAATTTTTCGAAAAGTATCAAGGGAGCATGAAAATCAAGGAGGTATTCACTGAAATTGAAAAATTAAAAATTTTCAAAAAAGTAACAGGGAAACATTAAAAACGAGAAGGTACTCACTGAAATTTGAAATTTCGAAATTTTTCGAAAAGTATTAAGGGCGCATGAAAACCGAGGAGGTATTCAC